AGACGTAACGTAAGACGTAACGTAAGACGTAACGTAAGACGTAACGTAAGACGTAACGTAAGACGTAACGTAAGACGTAACGTAAGACGTAACGTACGACGTAACGTAAGACGTAACGTAAGACGTAACGTACGACGTAACGTAAGACGTAACGTAGAACGTAACGTAAGACGCAACGTAGAACGTAACGTAAGACGTAACGTAAGAGGTAACGTAAGACGTAACGTAAGACGTGTAAGACGTCGCACAGTGCTTATTGTTGGTGGTACTGAGGTAATATGGAATTTAGATGCAACAGGTGGTCGCGGCGACATGACGCTCTGGCCCCCCACGCGCAGCACGTGTGGTAGGAACTGGTTCGTTTAAAAACAACACAACAGACAGGATGGCATTTCAGGGGTTAGTAGGGTCGTAGGCATCGCTACCACTTACAAGGGAAGGTTTTCCGGTGATACACTCAGATTTCAATGGCGCTTCAAAGTGTTGTTGTTTTCATCCCTAGATTAGGTTTCGCATTGGTTTTAGCTGCCCGTAGGGAGTTTGAAGGTCGTTTTACGTGAATTTAACTGAAAATTCACCAAACTTTTTAGCCTGATTATCAATCTACATGCACATATCTCAAGAACCGTTCGAGCTACAGCGCCCAGATTTTGAGGGAAATCATAATTTAGCACGTTTTTTACTTGTAGAAAATTTGAACGAAATCGATTCGGGTCGCAAAAACGGGTCCGGAGAGGGCGTTGCGACCCTAGGCCCCTTTTGGTGAACCCCATTGATTTGGTTCAAATATTTTTCATGGAAAGTACTAATTGAAAGATGATTACCTGCAAAATCTGGGCGCTGTAGCTCAAACGGTTTCGGAGATATGTGCATGCAAAGATGGCAAAAAACCGATGAATTTGTCAAATTTTTGATGAAATTCTTGTGAAATGATCCCCAAACTCCCTACGGGCAGCTAAAACCAGTGCCAATCCTAATCTAGAGGTGCAAACAACTACTCTTTAAAGCGCCTTTGAAATCTGACTGTATCACCGGAAAACCTTCCCTTGTTAGCCAAAAACAGATGGTTGTTTTATATTTCTGTGTTTTTTTTTTTGAATGGTAGGGCCCATTTCGTATTATTCCGGATCACATCGAGCACTGCCCAGCTGAAGTCTTTAAAAAGGAGCTTGCAACATGGTCCTTTCGTGGTACAAGAGATAGGCGCAACCTCGATGTATGGTATTACTCTGGAAACTACACACTTGGTTTCAACTTTACGGACCTCTACCATGTAAGTGATGCATGTTCGCAGTGCATACTATGCACTGCGAATTGTTTGCGAAGAACTGGTTCTTACAGCAATCTTTTTCGTTCGTAAAATGCAAAAGATTTGGTAGCGTCGTATTGCACTCGAACTTACGCTTCTTAAGTTTACGAAGCAAAAGTTTGTAGTGATAAGCAGTTGCTTGAAAGGCTTTCTATCAGCTCCCACCACTTTGTTAGCCCGTTACTGACTAGGTCTTGGTGCGATGTACACATCGTTGGGACTTGGCTGTAGATGCGAGTACATAGCGAGTCAGCCATGACAAGTCACGAGGTGCCTTCGCGAGTTTTTCGAGTTCTTTTCGTTTTGTGTGGCTGGCGACAGGCAGCCCCGAAGCAGCCGTCTTTTTCGCGTCCCTTTCCTGAATTCCTGAATGACACTAATCGGTGTTTCTAGCCGCCCTTCTGCTTTGATCGACTTGTAATCGAATGCGAATCATAGCAAACGAGACAGGTTACGTGAACGAAACATTTTGTTAATGACCAATTACAAAATATCTCGTAAGTGTACAAGCATATCCTCTACAGTTCAACGAAAAAAAAGAATTGTCCGTTTAGCTCTACATTGCACCGTTTAATCGTGCAGGGTCTTTTTCGGCGAAAAACCAGGGAACAACAATTGCAGCAATAAACCTCAAGCCATTAAATCGGCTTTAAATCGCATAATTAGTGATGTGCCTCCCAGGGGTCCGTACCTTATTACTGAAGGGGACACTATGGTGAAATTCGGATGTCTGGGAGCCTATGTTTCTAAACATGTTCCTCTTGAATCTCTTAAAGCATTCCCCCCCCCCCCCAAAAAAAAAACACCTTAACCTTTTCCAGACTTTTAGAAGCCACTGGAATCTGTAAAACATTGGTAAAACAGGCCTATTTTTGAAAAGTTCCATGCGCAAACTGGTTTAAGTGATATTGCCAAATCTTATGTTGAAATGTTCTATTATACGCTAATATTAAAGGCCGGCATAGAAAATGTCCTTATTTTTTCACCATGTGTCCCCTAACTGCCTTTCCGTTTTTTGAAGAGTTGATGTTATAAATTGTAACTTTTACTCGAGTCCTTTCTAAATAAGTTAGGAATTCGACCTGTCCTACTTTTTTCCACAATATGTCCAGCTAATTTTGACCACATTTTGAAAGCGATAACATTAACTTTTAATTTGATGAGTTTTGCTACGTTTAGTAACTAACATTCGTTCGTGTTATGATAAGTAGCAGAGCCCTGGGACGGTCTGGCTTTGAGGCGAAAGGCAAATCAGCTTGAACAAGAAACTGCGCCCATGACCTCGACTAACGTGGCTGCAAGGGAAGCGAATTAGAGCTGACAACCCTGCTCGTCGGAAGGGCAGGTCTGCTGCTCCGTACATTCGTTGCAGGGAAAAATGTAATTGCCCATTGCCTTCATTATTTATTTCAATACAGTGAAGCAACTACTCGGTTTGGGGAAAACTCGCACTCTTAATATCTAAGGACAACTTTGAAAACTAGCATCGGCCTTCTGTGTGCATAACTAGGTCAGATACATGTATTGTAACTAAAAGCTGTTAGTTACGTTTGTTACCAGCTTACATTTAGTGTCCGGCAAGTAACAATATTGTATCTGAACTGAGTTATGCCCACAGAAGTCCGGTGCTAGAAACAACAAAATTGTCCTCGACTTACAGAGTGCGGGCTTACAACTCGTAAATCTAAGAGTGTAAGTGTAATAATTTGAAATTTACATGTTTTCGCATAGGTAAAACTTGATTTTGCCTCCTGGTCATCCCGTGGAGGATGGAAAGACTATGCACTTGTTCTAAAATTCAAGCGAATTTGTGCGACAGGCAAGCTCTATGTTCCTCAAGTTTGGCAAAATATAATGGAAAGTGTTTTTGACGAAGAAAACAAAACAAGACCAGATTGCCCCTTCCCGCCGGTAAGCTTTAGATTTTCGAGACATCAGCACACACGCGGAAAGCCATACACACACACCCTAAAATAAGTAAAGATTTCTATATCAAGTTTGTTACAGTTGACTATATCCAGGCACTATGATACAGCAAAATTGCATCTGTGATACAAAATCTTGTAATATCTTATAAACACTTTCTTTATTCTTCCAATGATTTAACTTCAAA